AGTCTTGCAATGAACCTACTGAACCTACTGATAATTTCTATCCTGAAAAATGGTTGCATGTATGAATTATAAAGAAAAATATGACTTCACTAACTTATCCATCAAATATTCTGGTTGATGTGAATTTGATTGTGTGGATTTGATATGATTTTTGGTGTATATGTTAAGCACATATATTGCTAGCCCAAATGTTGGTTCAAAAACCCTAGACTCAGATTTCAGAAGTTGTCTGGAACATTTTTTGCTAGTTTGTTCAGTGAACAAACTTCAGCAGAGCCAGATCTTCAAATAAGGCAACCTGGATGTTACAGGAAAGCTTAAATGATAGAGAAAAATTATAACTACAGTGGCCTTAATACTTTGGAATTTTCTTTCTTTGAAAGTAATATTGTTAATATTTTTTTTAGGGATAAGTTCCATTGGTTTATGGATCATGCCTGGCCTTGCATGTGATATTGAGGTCTCCAAAAGTCAACTTGACTGGGTGAAATAGAGACTCTATTTCAAACATGGCAATTGTAAGATGTGTGAACTTCCATTCCTAGAATTACACATACCTTAAAATTGCCAAGATTGAAAAACATTTTTCTAATGAATGAAATGAATATTTTAAAAATCTACAGCACTTAAATGTTTATATATTTTTTCTCCTAAAACCTCAGTTTGCTTACAAATATAGAAAGTCCTCAATTTCTTGCTCCCATCAATTGTGAGGAAGCTCTGGGAGCTAAAGAAGAATGGGCCACATGCAAATCTTTGGCTACAGTTTTTATGGCAGGTTTTATTTTACATTAGCAACTGTACAGTACAATGTTAGCTTTGACAGTTTTTGAAGATGGGCACTTTGCAGCAACCAACACATTGTCTCCACGTTTTGTTCCTTCTAATAGCTTTTAAATAATTGTCTACATACGTTCCTTGTCAATGGAAAATAAGCATATGTTGATATTGCCAAGGAAAATATGGATTTTTCAAAATAGATTATTCAGATTCTCAATGAATAAAAGCTGAAGCAATAAAAAGACACAAATTAGTGCCGCAAGATGTTCCCCTGCCAAACTTGGACTAAAAAGTGCTTTTAAACCCTTTGAACAGATGATGAGAAATGGGAGACTGTGAGAAAATGCCTGGGTTGTCTTATAATGTATCTCTTGCTATCGTTGTGGTATAACAATGATGTGTTCCACATCCCCGTTCGGTTTCCAAGCTTCATACCACTTCTGATGAATTACATTAAAATTTATATCAGTATTTACTGCATTTCCCTTTTGAAAAGGACATGTAGCTAATTTTTATTTGTTTTTCGTAGATGACTTTCCCAAGCCACAAATTAGAACACATCCTGAGACAACAGTTGCGCTTAGAGGAACCAATGTTACCCTGACTTGCAAGGCGGTGAGCAGCAGTGATTTGCCTATATCTGCTGCCTGGAGAAAGGACAGTGAAATATTATATGACACAGATATAGAAAATTATGTCAGGTACCAACAACAAGATGGTGAAATCCTGGAATATACTTCTATCCTGCATGTTTTCAATGTGAACTTTACTGATGAAGGAAAATACCAGTGTATCATCTTCAATCACTTTGGGTCCAACTATTCCAACAAGGCCAAGTTGACTATCAATGGTATGCAGCAGTGGGAGTTTTGTTTTGCTTTGCTTTAAGAAGAAAAAAAAATCCTTGAAATGAATTTGTATAAAAAAGGGATTGAGAGCCTTTATCTTTCATGTAATTCCAACAGTCCATTGCAAGTAAGCAATTTAGATCTCCGGCAAAAGTGATCTTGCTTTTCCCAGGTAGTGCTGTGTGGAGAGAAGAGACATCTAAGGGAAAGAAATGTGTGTTTACATAACCTTTGACTACAGCTTCACTGATATGTGATACAAACCCAACAGATCACTTCTGTGGCTTCATCAGGAAAAAAACCACCAGGATTTCATAGTTTGTTTAGCTTCCAAATGTGTGCCAACAGTCTTTCCCTTTTCGGTTCCTCCCTAAAATAGTAGGTAAAAAAAAAATCAACTGGTGCTGAAAAGTTATGAAAGACTTCTCACATAGAGGCTAGGCATAAGGACCATTTTTTTCATTTTTTAAAAAAGGGGGAAACAAAAATCAAGCACAAATTACTAAGGATTTTTTAACTGTGATTTAGGGGGAAAGCCATAACAAACGAGTTTGCATATCATGCTAAGTCCAAAACAAATAAGCCATGTTACAGTTTAACCCAGTGTGTTAATTAAATTAGACAACAGCCAACTTGCTTCTTGGCTCAATGCTCCCAAAAGAACTAAGCTGAATAAGAGGAAGAGGGCAGCCACAGCAGTTCCATGGGTGGAGATGGTTGGGGCAACTGCAGCAACAACAGCTTCTGTGTTTTTCTGGAGCTGCCTGTCTGGTTATGTCTACTATAACGGGTTCTCAACCTTGGCAACTTTAAGACTTGTGGACTTCAACTCCCAGAATTCCTCAGCCAGCTTTCTGGGAGTTGAAGTCCACAAGTCTTAAAGTTGCAAAGGTTGAAGACTCCTGTACTAGAGTCAAGAGAGTTGTAACCTGAGGAGTTAGTGGTAGTAGCATGCCTCATCCTTTACCTCAGGAGAATGACTGCCCAAAAGTATTTGGGCATGTGAATGCTGGCATTGCAGGGAAACTGGGTGCATTCTACCTCCAGATGGGGAAATCTTAAACAACCAATTCACAGAAATCGTACTGAACTAACCAAGAAGTAAATTACATGGAAAATATTTGCACTTTATTTCTTACTGTACTAAATCACATCCCAGTAAGGTTGCCCTGATTGAGGATGTTTTATTGTGTTTATTGTTATGAAACTACTTTTTTAATCTTAAAAGATGAAAAGATAAAAAAAGCGAAGACAACATGGATTGTTCCAGAGAAACTAAAAATCATTTTGCTTTTTTGTTTCCCCCCTCCAAATCATTATTAAATCTTGGGAGTAAATTATATTTTGAAACAAGTCCGGATTGATGAAATCTAGTTTTTGATGGTTGTGGGTTTGTTTTTGGATTTTTTTTTTTTAGTGGGCAAACAACTATCTTTTGAGTCAGAAAGTGTACTTTTGGGTAATTTTTAATTCCCTCTCCTAAAATCCAGATCTTTTCCAAATGTTTGGTATAAATCTAAGTAAAAATGTTTAAGGCTTTGAACAAGGGGAGAATTATGGATTCTGTGTGTTCTGCATAAGGAAAATTCTCATGTTAATTCTACTGCATTGTCATTCAGAGTTGCCTTCTTTTGTGAAAACTCCCATGGATTTGACAGTACGTACTAGAGCCATGGCTAAATTGGAATGTGCTGCAGAAGGCCATCCACCACCTCAGATATCCTGGCAAAAAGATGGCGGCACAGATTTCCCTGCAGCTCGTGAAAGGCGCATGCATGTGATGCCAGAAGATGATGTCTTCTTCATAGTAAATGTGAAAATTGAAGATATGGGGATTTATAGTTGTATGGCACAAAATGTGGCTGGCAGTATATCAGCAAACGTAACATTGACTGTGTTAGGTAAGCAGACTTGAAGCTACATGAGTCATTTTATTAGACCTTCATACTTGGATATATTTCAGGTGATTTGCATCTACAGGGATAAGATCAGAAGCCCCACTGAGAAAGTTAAAATCAGTTATTATGTGTTAGGTCTTTGGCATTTTTAGAATGGAGGAATCTTAGGATTGTGGTTAAAACAATAAAAAAATAATAGTGACATAGTGCAGTATCAGAAAATGCTGGCCTTAGATTTAGGCAATGAAAAACAATACTGTTTGTTTGGTTTGAATTTAAATGTGGTCAGATCCCAAAATCAAATTGAACATCTCCAAATATTTATGGAAATATTTTCCATTGAATATGTAGTGTGAAGATATTTAGTCTGTGTGTTTGTAAGTACTTTAAATATTATCTTTATTTTTCCAGAAACACCTTCATTTGTTAGGCCTCTGGAAGACAGGACTGTAGCTCAAGGTGAAACAGCTGTTCTGCAGTGCATTGCTAGTGGCAGCCCTGCCCCTCGCCTAAACTGGACCAAAGATGATGGTCCTCTGACAGTGACCGAACGGCATTTCTTTGCAGCTGCCAATCAACTGCTCATCATTGTAGATGCGGGATTAGAGGATGCTGGAAAATATACTTGCATTATGTCTAATACCCTTGGTACAGTGCGTGGCCATATTTATTTACATGTATTATCCTCACCGAACTGTGACTCATCCCAAAGTGGCATTGGAATTGGAGATGATGGCTGGACAACAGTTGGGATTGTAATCATTGTTGTGGTCTGCTGTGTTGTAGGCACCTCTCTAGTTTGGGTTGTTGTTATCTATCACATGAGAAGAAAAAGTGAAGATTATAGCATCACTAACACAGGTGGGAAACCTGCTAATTTAATTTTATTGATTTCATAGTTATCATGACAATTGGTAAAGGGAATTGAGTTAATTCCATTTAAAGTGGCTTAGTAGAAATCTGTTTGCACATCCAGAAATACCTGTTTCATAAACTATCAAACCTCTGTCAGAAAAGTAATCCCAGAGTCTTTGATTACCATATATACAGCCTATAGAAGTGATCATATACAAGTCAAAATACTAAAGTTTAAGAAAGCTGTAAATGAATATACACACATTTCTTCCTGTTGTTTCAAAAATTACATTTTGTCATATCTTCAGAAAAAATAGTGTTATAGTATGGAATTAGTGTAAAAATTATTAATATTTGTAGTTTAATAAATGGCAGTAAATTAGCATTAGAAAAGAATAAATGAAAATGCTTTCAAGACATTTTATTCTTCTAGACATACTAGGTAAGTTTTTTTGTGCAGTGTGAGGTTATATTTCTTGATGCACTGCCTGAATGTCACTGTCTTAATAGATACCTAATTGCTGAATGCCACATTTTTTTCCCTTTTTCAGAAGAGGTAAATTTGCCTCCTGATATTCCTAGCTACTTATCTTCTCAAGGGACTCTGTCAGAGCCACAGGAAGGCTATAGTAATTCTGAGGCAGGAAGCAATCAGCAACTTATGCCTCCCTCCAACAGTTACATACACAAAGGCACAGATGGTAAGTCCTATTTATCTTATTCTTAGGCAAAAATTAGATTATTTTCCACAGCCAGTTTACTGTGACCCACCAAATTCTCGATTGTTTTTTCAGTGCCGTTGTAACTTCAAATGGTCACTAAACAAATGTTTGTAAGTTGAGGGCTACTTGTATAAGCATATTCTGAGTTTGCAACATGGTTAGGTGAACCAAACTGGGTGTCAGGTGTGAAAATGTAGTCTTTATTGATATACTCCTTGCATCAGCTTAGGTAACATTTGCCCTACCTCCTCAGTCATTTCACCATCGCTGTGGGACTAGTGAGAGAATCATTCAATTATTTTTAAAAAATGATTCCATTGGTTGGTTTATTTTCATTTTTCTGTGTATTTGCTTTCTTTAAAAAAAAAATTTACTCCCATCGAAATGATCTAAAATCAGGAAGGTGGTGGAGGGTCAGGAAGCTAGGATTGTTTGGTGAAGGAGGAGGCTATAAGGCAGTGTTTCTCAACCTGGACAATTTTAAGGCATGTGGACTTCAACTCCCAGAATTCCACAGCCAGCAATGCTGGCTGTGGAATTCTGGGAGTTGAAGTCCACATGCCTTAAAATTGTCCAGGTTGAGAAACACTGCTATAAGGAGAAGGGAAAATTCTTGTACTTTTCTGGATGCACTTGTATGAACAAGGAAGCAAGCAAACCCAGAACCAATTCCTGACAGTCATGAAAGAGGGGAGAATAGGTAAAGAAGCATTTCCTCCCCTCCCCCCTTCTTTCCAAGTTGTGCCTTCCAGTTTTCCTGGACTAAAATCCAATCATACCTCTGACCAATTGAAGCTCTCCTAATAGCACTTACAAAGCCAAGTGCTGGGAGAAAGCATCTCTTAAACCTGAGTTGGGGCAAGGCCTGGGATGTATTGGCAAAGGTTTGCTAGTTTCTCCTTCTAATTCAGATGACACAATGCTGAAATTGGGTTCTCTTCTCTTCCCCCACCCTCCTGCTGTTAGACTCATTAAATGCTCATTATGAGCAAGCCGCTCCTGCACTGAGCAGGAGTTGAATTATTGAACTAAATTACTTCCAAAAGTCCTTTCCAAATGTCTGATTCTATTTCTTCTGGCTTTTTTCCCAAAAACTCTATATCCTCCAAGATTTTCCCATAGATAGTAAAGTGTTTGATGCTTGTTTTCCTAGTAGAAGCGATCGTGTCAGAGTATTGTAACTTACCATTATTATTTTTTCATTAGGTGGCACAGAGCCATTGGTGATCTGCTCGGATTGTTACGACAATGCCAACATCTATTCCAGAAACAGGGAGTATTGTCCTTATACATACAACACTGAAGATGATCCACTGGATCAGTCATTGTCCAACCTAATGGTACAGATGTCTAAAGAGCCCTATCCTGGATGCCCTCAGCATGAAATCACAACTATTAATAACTTTTCAGATGGCCAAGATAGGTCTGTGTTTGTTAGCAGTCAAGACAGGCTTCATGAGAGGAAACCATGTTCTCAGTCCTGTGGCAGTGGTAAGGGCTTTTTTTTTTTGGTTGATATTTAAATGATTTCATTTTCATCCGAATAATGAATTGGCTGTTGCAAAATACTTCATAGCTACATTGCAAAATATACTTTGTGAATCTGCCTTTTTCAGAACTTTGTTTTTATTTTATTTATTTTTATCTTGCCTTTATTATTTTTATAAATACCGGTAACTCAAGGCATTGAACGTATCTAGTACTCCTGTCTCTCCCATTTTCCCTACAACAATCCTGTGAGATGGGTTTAACTTAAGAGTGTTACTGGCCTAAAATCACCCAACTGGTTTTCATGCTTAAGGTGGAACTCGACTTCATGGTCTCCCAGTTTCTAGCTTGTTGCCTTAACCACTAGATCTAACTGGCTCTCAGATTTTACTCTTATTGTTGATGTCCAGTCTCCAAGCTCCATTATTCAAAATATATCTAAATGTAATTTGTTTATGAAGCCAAAAGAATAGGTTATGTAAACATTGTCTTTCATATTTCCAGAAGTCTATTTTTAATTTGATTTCTTTTATTAAAAAAAACAAAGATACAAAGAAAAAAATGAAAAAAGTAAAAACAATATATATACAGAAGACAACTACTTTTAAACATAACATTTAACCATGACCATACAGAGCAATATTAATTAGTTTTTTATTATATCACTAGAGAGCCAGTTCAATAGTAGACAATGAATATATTTCATCAATCCAAGATTGTAAATCTAGGATAGTTCTATCTTGCCATTGTAAAAGAGTAAATATTTTTGGTTGTGCTCCATAAGTTGATAACTTCATCATTCTTCATATAATGTGTTTGAAATAGTTGATATATACGGTAATTCCAAATCACATAATAATAACCATCTTGCTCTTTCCTAAAATTATATTAACAAACTTATGGATATTAAGCAAAATAGGAAAACATGTGTCCCTCTTCATAATTTTACTTTCCAATATAATGAAGTCATGGCCATATCTTTTAAAACATTTTATCAAGTGTCCAATAAACATGAACATTTCGAATTGCTTTCATGTTAAGATCGTAAGACTTAAATAAGATTTAATGTTTACGATTCTTGCAGTTCATTTGTATATTCCAAATTTCTGTTCCAACTTTCTTGCAAATATTGTTTATCTTAAAAATCTTTGGTTTTGACCAAATAGGGAAAATAAAAGATATTTTAATTTAATATGTTGCCATTCCATAGATTTAGATAACCTGAATTTTTGTTTCAATTTTTTGATGACTGCATCAATCAAAAATTAATATCATTAGCTCATGAATTCCCCCCATCCCCCCCCAAAAAAAGATTAAGCTCCAGTTTTCAAACTGGGACTATCCCACAGTGTAAACTCTCATGTAAATAAGAATCAGAAATACACAATATCTTTCAAATATGCCCTGCAGCATTTAATGCAGGAAATAAAATAGAATTTTTGACTAAAAAAAGGTCTAGTAAATTTACTTTACTAACTTTGAAGCCAAGATTCTTCTATAAATATTAGATATATGTGGTTCTTAATAAGTGTCTTTAGTAGTTTGGAATACTACCTTATGTTTTTGTAGATATATCTGAATAAATAGCTTTTTACAAAATGTACAAAATTATTCCTAAACATAGACAAATAGCAAATACATGAGTTAAATGTACTGTTATAGCTAAAATTGGGTGTTGTTGTTGAGAATCTTAGTGCTGAGATTGTTTACAAATTCAAATTTCTAATTTTTCCTTCCACAGATCTTTTTCAACAGTCTTTATGGGGTATCAATAATGATCTGGCGTTGCTGCATCCTCATTGTTCATCTCCATCTAAGACCCATGAGGTGCTAGAAGTTCTGCAAAATGAAGGCATCACAGAGAAAGAGCCAGAGCAGATTATTCCTCCTAGGCTTCATCACAGATTACATGAATACAACTTTGATTTTAACAGGACTCGGGACATGCAAGAGCATCGTGAAGCTACATAAAAATGAAATAAACATTAGCAGCTTGAAGCATTTGTTAGTATTATTGCTACCTCATATTTTGACTCATGGCAAAAAAATGTTTCATGCTTCCAACAGAGGCCTAATGGAACAGACCACTGACTGCATGCTGGAGGGCAAAATCACTTCTGCTATTTTCCAATAAGTAGCATATATTAAAGCTCAGTCTTAAACGGATGGTGAAAAAAAAGAAGATATAACACAGTGATGGAAGTGTGAGTGTCTCTGTTGTCTTGGAAACATTCCCAAGAATGGTTCACATACGTTATCTTTCCTGCTGAAGAAAAAATAACTTTAAAAGAGCCTCTTTGCAAGATTTCTTCGTATTCATCAATATGAAACTTTTGCTTGATTTTTTGATCCATCTGACAACTAGCAGGAATTCCTCTCAGTATGTCCGATCACAAAATCTATTTACTTTTTCTCTCTGAAGTATTCAGATGTAAATATATACATATAATATAAATATTTTGTATACACTAATGGAGATGAGAGACTGAAATGTAAAGTTTTTTTTTAAATCATGCCAAATATCACATCATTCTGACTTCCCTGACTTGTTTTGCCAGAAATCAGAAATTGTTTACTAAGAGTGATGCAGATGGGTTGGTTCATAATTATTATTTTTGCACTCCACGATTGGAGTTATCAAATGCTCTGCCATTCATTCACTGGAGATTTTCATTCTTTGGTGGCTCTTCTACTTTATAGTTTTATGTATGGGCAGTAATTGATGGAAGGAAGATTGTGCATAAAGAGAATTTCTTGTGAATCGGCCTGTGGATTTTAACACAGGATATGATATGTATGATGTGAGAGATGGTTAAGTTGATGTATTATTGGAAATCTGAACTATTAATGTGAAGTCATTTTTAAAATTTCATGGATGCTGGAAATTATTTTACTTTTTTCAAGCTTAGAAAGTTTAAACTGATTATCTCTGTTCATACCCATGCCTGAGAAATTAAGCAATGTGTGTGTAAGATGTGAAGAATTAAATGAGTTGAACATCAATGGTTAGTCAGAAAACAGTGTTTCTCAACCTTGGCAACTTTAAGATGTGTGGACTTCAACTCCCAGGATTCCCCAGCCAGTCATGCTGTCTTCCCCATGCTCCCTGCTGCAGGCTGAGTCCACACATCTTAAAGTTGCCAAGATTGAGAAACACTGTATAGAAGCAACCTTTGACACAATAGGACTGGGAAGGAATTTGACACATTTCCTAATGTGCTTTTGTACACCAAAATGAAATGTTATACAATACTATAATTATGATATAATAGTGGAACAGCTAGTAAAGGAAGATTATCTCAAAATAACAAATAAAGGGTATAGACCAGTGATGGCGAGCCTTTCAGAGACTGAGTGCCCAAACTGCAACCCAAAACCTACTTATTGATCGCCGGATGCCAGGTGGGCGTGGCCCACTGGGTGGGGATGGCTGTAGTGGTCATGGCAGACTGGGTGGGTATGGCCAAGGTGGGCAGGGTTGGGGGAGATCCAGGGGTCTCTGGCAGGTAGGGCGGTGGGCAGGAGGCTCGTCCTGCGGGATGAGGCAAGGCAAGGTGAGGCAGGCCGGCAGTGCCGTTGTCACAGGGCAAGGTGAGGCAGGGGCCGGGGCGGCTGCTGCCTGACACCATCAGCCCCCGCACGCAGAGGCCAGCGAGCGCATGAGTGCTGGGATGCATCTGGCCACGTGGGACCTCGGCGAGTTAGGCGGCTGGTTGAAGAGGGACGGTTGCCATTTCCGGGGCATGGCGCGTGTGCCCACAGAGAGGGCTCTGAGTGCTGCCTCTGGCACGCTTGCCATAGGTTCGCCACCACTGGTATAGACCCTCAATAGTCTACAGATTTCTTTTTATACTGAGATAATCTTTTTTGCTAATCTTTGCTATTCTTAAATAATCTGTTTGCTAATTTTTCCTACTATAATAATTCAGAGTTCTGGATTGCAGCTAGAAGACATCTCATAAACTCTGTGTATTAGCTATGGCAAACACTTGTATTCTGACAAAATGTAGGAAAAATATTAGCTGTCAGTGTAATCCCACACATATTTATTCAGATTTAAGTCCCATTAAGTGCAGTAGGCTTACTCTGAAGTAAGTAATCATAGAATTGTAGTCTAATTTGGAAATTACCCATAGTCTGAATTTCTTGTATCATCTTTTCTCAGAGTTCAATAAAAAGTACTTTGTAAACCATTTGGTGTGCTTCTATAGTAAAATGTTGGCATGAAAAATTATTAAGGCAAATATATTTCATTTGTGTCCAACATTCCTGCCTTGTAGAAAAAAACTGAAGACAGCTTTTCTGGAGAGCTTTTGGTGCTTGAGCTGTGGTTAGAATGCAGTTCTGCAGGCTACTTCTGCTGACTGCCAACTGCCAGCAGTTCGGCAGTTCGATTCTCACTGGCTCAAGGTTGATTCAGCCTTTCATCTTTCCCAAGGTTGGTAAAATGAGCCAGATTGTTGGGGGCAATAGGCTGACTCTGTACACCGTTTAGAGAGGGCTGTAAAGCACTATGAAGTGGTATATAAGTCTAAGTGCTATTGCTATATTGTATTGGGTTTTATCTGCCTTATTTCTATGTTACTTTATAGTACTTCTTTATGTGCATTGACATAAAAATTGTGTAGTAAATGAATCAATCAGTGACTATATCCCCACTAATGGAAATAATATGTACTAAGCCCATGAGTAATATTTAACTGGAAAAGGCCTCTTTTTACTTGCTGGAATTTTAGTGTTTTTGTTAAGATTCTTATTATATAAAGCCTGAATTTCTGGCTGGAAGCAGTAAAATTCCTGTGTTTTGTTTTGTAACTTAAGAATCCCTATGGGCTTGTCCCACTTACAAAAAGTAACCAGCCAGGTAACTAAGCAATGAAAGAATGAACTCATTAAGTAGTGGTTGCTTGCCCTTTTGGTTTTTGTACCAGTGGAAAGTGCCAACTTACATATTGCTTATTTCTTCAAAATATCAGTGTCCCAAATCTTACAGGGGTCTTTTGTCTGAGGTCTGTAGCAGTGCTGAAAATACAAAAGTCAAGGCAGATTATTGTCAGCAAGTAGATAAAGCTCAGCTTTCTAGGGCACAAAATAATAGTCTTCTTTTATCCAAGATATTTGCTTCAAAGTACTGAACCGACAAAAATTAGCTTTTGATTAATCTTGCTTGCAGCTACAATTTTAATGCTTGCTGCATTATTTTCTGTGAGAACCATACCTGAACTTTAGCAGTAAAAATGGAGATATGAAATATACAGAATGGCAGGTGATGAAATGGGTAAGCATTCTGTTAACAAGATTACAGAGGCACTTTATTATCATTTTAAGTGTGAGTTTTAGAATTATATAGGAGAAAGGTTCCAGTTAAAAACCTTTAGTAAAATATAGGTACTCTGAAAAGGATAAGAGTCAGACTGCATTAAAACTCTGTTTTGTATTTCTGAGATGTGTGCTAAAATACTCAGCAACAGAAAGTTCTGCATTAGAATTTCTTGTTGCTGGTTTTGCATCTTCTTCAGGGTGCACATGTACCAGATGGTTAAAGCATTTCTATTTTACCTGATGTGAATTTAGCACTTGAGATAATTTTCCTTCACTAAGTGATGAAAACCGGTTATGGGAAATTGAGACAGCTTGTGGAGAATCTGATATGGCAAAGCTGGAAAAATATGTAAGACCAGAACTTCATTTCATCTTTGTATATAGTTCCTGCCAGATTGCAAATGACATATTGCACAGCTCAATATTTTACTATTCACTCTGGAAGTTCAGAAGCTTCACTGTAGAGAGACAAATTTGGTAATCCAAACTTCCTTGTTAGATATAAGGAAGTTCCTGTTTAGCAACCACAGCACTGGCAACTCAGCTATTAAGCAGTCAGAAAGTGAAACCATGGCTGTCTTAGGATCTTTCTTTTTCTTTATAGATTTGTGAAACTTGGTAAATGCGAGGATTGATTGTGAAGTTACTTTTTCATCACCATGATAACAATGGTGGCTAAACAAGAACTACATATCTTTATGTAAAACAATTCAGACAGCTTTGGGTTTGGAAACAATTCAGCAGTCAGGCTGGAAATCAGATGAATAAAGTATTGAGGATATTTATGAGCACAAGGATGTCTAAAAGTAAATTATAGAGCAAAGAATTTAAACATTTTATAACTTCTCTAAGCTATGTTTTGGGAAAATGACTTCCTAGCAAGCCAATACTTCTCCTATTCTGAAAACAAAATCTATAAGGAATTGTGTCTGGGATTAGAATTTAGGCAATTTTGAAATATTTCACTTATCTGTGCTTTTTAAAAGAGGTGTTTTGGGTTTTTTTTGGCAGTTTTCAGGGGAAAAATATTGATACTTTTTTCCAATGCCAAAGTAATTATAGCTGTAAATATCCAGGGCAGTGCAAATCAATGTTTTCTTATAGCTGTTCTTTCTTGTAACTATTTATATTTTCTCATGTAATCAGAATGTATATTTTGTACAGCATGTGTAATATGTTGGTCTATTGTAATATACCTTATCCAATAAAGGAATACACAATTAATTTTGGGTTTTGCATGGTCTAATTGTGAGGCGAGTAGTCTTCTGAACAATTGCATAGCCTGCATTACTTGTGCTCCATGTTTGAACACTTGGGCTGTCTTGAATTTGTAACATAATTAGAATTATCTAACAAAATGAAATTCAATAGTAAAAAAGTAAGGTTCTACATTTAGGCAAGAGAAACCAAATGCACAAATATAGTATGGGTAGTACCTGACTCAATAGTAGTAATCTTTGAGGGATCTTTGAGTCCTAGTGGACAATCACTTAAATATGAGCCAGCAGTGTGCTGCATGTGCCAAAAAAGCCAATGCAGTCCTAGGCTGCATTAACAGAGGGATAGAATCAAGATTATGTGAAGGCAATATATAATACCACTATATATTGCCTTGGTAAGACCATACTTGGAATACTGCATCCTGGTTTGGTTGCCTTGATGTAAAAAAGATGTTGAGACACTACAGAAAAGAGTAACAAAGACGATTAGGGGACTGGAGGCTAAAACAAAAAGAATTGTTGCTGGAATTGGGTATGTTTAGTTTAAAGAAAAGGAGTAGGGGTGACATATCTAAGGAGTTGCCATAAAGAAGAGGGGATCAACCTATTCCCCAAAACACCTGAAAGCAGGACAAGA